TAACAGTTTCATCGTCTCGATGAAAATATAAACTTTTATCGACAGATGGTAAAAACAATGCCCAAACAGTTGCAAGGATTTGTGCTGCAATAAATATTTTAAGTGATTATGTACAAAACCTGAATATTCATTAAAACTTTGGAAAAGTACTACAATATAAATTTATTTAACATTTGTGTAAAGATATTATTTAAAAATATATTTCTAATTAAAAATAGGCTGAAGTAGTTTGATAATATACACCTAAGTCTGTTTTTACACGGTCTTTTTGTACACGGTTTTGATATAACACGGTTTGAAAATTGAATATTTTTAATTTTTTTACACGATTTTATTCCATTTAGCACGATTTGAAATTTTATGTACTTAAATTTTTTTGTCAAATTTAATTTTTGCGATGTATGTTCATATCACAAAAAAGTACTTATGAAAGAAAAAAGTCTGAAACCATCGATAGTATAGATAGTTTGCGAACACTAGCTTAAAGATTGAAGTGAATTCCCCTTTAGCGCAAACAATTTTTACTGGTCAAAGCAAATGTAATAGCACTAATTTAGGGGAATTATTATTAAAATAACATGAATTCTTGTTCTTGAAATTATTCTTGTTTTTTTTTACTAAAATTTTCACTAATTTTAATAGGTTTTAGAGAGTAGGACAAATCACCCATTTTTGTATAAGATCAATGTCTTTTTTTACACGTTTTTTTTTTACACGGCTTCTTCTGGAACCAATCTCCATGTAAAAACAGACTTAGGTGTATCTACGATTTTATATTTGATTATTATTTATTTTTCTTAAACCGATTTGAAAGATAATTAAATATTTACCTATAATAGATATATAATTAAGATCCTTGTAGTTCATTAACTTTGTATAAACCAAAATTTGGGCTGTGATAGCAGCAAGAAATCTACCTCCTAAATTAGCAGCTCTGGTATGAGATGTGACCTTTTGATAATGTTGTTTATCAACTTTTGCATAGATGTAAGTATAATAAGCAACTTCGGTAGACATATAGGTTCCATAGAAAAATTCCAGAACTTGCAAAGCGACTAAGCTAGTTGTCCAAAGAAGCATACTCCAAACAATAATACCAGACATACCACATACCACAATTAAGGGTTTATATCGAAAAAGATCGGTTATCAAAAATACTATGATGAGTTGTGCAAGGTACGAATAAGTTCCCACAGGATATACATCTTGAGACAATTGTTCCTCAGTGATATTTCTCCATTCTCCCAATAAATAATTTGATATAAAAGGTTCTGACGGTCTCATTTCTTTAATAAATCCAAAAACGCTGAGTAATACCGAAATTTTTAACCACTCTTCCATTTTAAGATTATGTGAAAAAATCTATTATTTTGAAATCGTTAAAATGATGTAACACTCACAATGACATTGTTAGATATGCATTACATGTTTAAAATGAAACAGTATGATGTCTTTATTTAAGATCAAATTCACTTATTGTGAAAGTGACATAATTACTAATTAGATATTTATTACTATATAAAATGCATAACAATGCGATCACTTTTCCTATCTGTCAAATCATCTGTCTGTAAGCGATTGAGGTTATATTCAATGACACGTGAGTTAACTTTATTGCACCGCGTCGATAAATGCGTTCTGATATAACAGAATGAACAGAGCCGAATTCGAGGTGTTATTTGAAATTAATTATTTGAATTCTTAGAAACGGCAGGCGATAAGTGCCTAATTCATGTTAAATACAAAATGATAAGATAAAAAGTAATTTTAAAACAAAGCGGAAATTATGCTTATGTTGTGAGCAGTGTATTGTCGAGCCGGAACGTCGTTTCGGTACTTCCTTTCTCGACATGAACGCGTTCCGGAACTAAAGATGATTTCTGGTTACGATGAGCATTGGCTGATGTATTCAAAAATAAAATAAATAAATATCACTGTTTTTTCGAACCTTTATATGTATTATTATAAATATAAGGATTTGAACTAAGCACGAACCGGAAAGAATTGGCCCTATCTTTATAATTATATGCGTTCTGGTAAAAAAAAACAGCACAACACAACAACAACTAAAATATAATATAATAAATATAGTATATAGATAAAGTATATTGATATTCAGTTTTAGTATCAGTATATATATATATATATATATATATATATATATATATATATATATATATATATATGGATAAATATATATATATTTAAGATATAGATGAATTTATGCTGGACTTGAAGTATAGGACGATATAAGCCTAATCGCATAGTCATAGCATATACTCTGTATCAGATAAGAGAAATATCAAATACTTTTGTCATATATATATATATATATATATATATATATATATATATATATATATATATATATATATATATATATATATATATATATATATATATATATATATATATATATAATAAAATACTATTGCATTTAATAGTGCAGTGTGTTTTAATATTACCTTTTTGTAATAAATGCCAAAGAATTAATTAACTAATTTTAAGCTCTAATACAAAACAAAATATATACTCGTATATATATCAATATATAAATATTGTCCAGTCAGCTTTTTGTTGTTCGTTTAATTGGGGCAAGTTCCAGATAACAATTAAAATTCAGTAATATATATTTTTCATTCGTGAATTCGAAATTGTTTTATATTTTCCATAACTTTATTTAGTTCTCTCTTAGTCGTCAGCATCCAGTGTGTTGATTTTTGCTTCAAGTTTTATATGTGTTATAAGTTAGTTTTTCAGAAGTACTGTTTTTTATTTTGAAATATATTTTTATTGATAATGATTGGATGAAAGCGCTAAGAGCAATATAATTCAAACACTGAAAGTCACTGTTTGTTGTTTTATTACATTAAATTGGATTTTTGAACAATTAATGCTTATTATATATATATATATATATATATATATATATATATATGACTGACAATTAATAAATACAATTGTTATCAAAATTGCTATCTTGTCAAAAACATATTTTTATTATCAACCAAATTTAAATTAATTAGTTTAAACATTCAAACTTTTTATCTAAAATTGATTAATTTGATTTCTTCAGTCTTCCTTTTTATTTACATTTATACATATGTGTACACAAAAACACACGTGCGCACCAACGCTGTTTATATACGTATATGATTTCTTAAAAATCTGAACTAAAGGCCCTCCTTTCTCTACAAAAAAATAAATATTAAAAACTAATTAGTAGAATAAAGATGTAAATTCTTGAAGTTGAATTTACAGGTTTTTTCTAGTTAAAAATCCTAGTTTTTGGTGGGTTTCGAAGATTGCCGATTCTCTGATTTGGAAAATGTTTAGTTACAAAGTTCTTGAAACAGGAGTTCCATATCCCTGAAATGTTGAATAAAATCCTTGAAAAATAAATCATTTTTTGAAAAAAGGAGGCTTTCCCAGGTCTTTAAATATATATATATATAAAATATACATAAATATATCCATATCTATTTGCAAAATGTCTAAACTCTATTTGATTATTACAGTCATGCTATAAAATAAAAAAATGACATTTCTAATAAGAATATAAGGAAATAAATAAAATAAAGTTTCTTATAATATGATTAGATATAGCTCTATAAATTTCTATTATATCTATAATTACATATCACTATTATAAGTTATGTTGCATAAAATATTTAAAAACTATAAATAGAAATAGACGAAATTGACAATATTTCATCATAGAATCACTCCATAACCAGCATGAAAATTTAATCATCACCCAATTCATTACATTCACACATTTTTTTAACTTTCATAATATTAGTAATCTATTTCTATTCTTAATATAATGAGATGTGTTGTGATTTTAAATACAAACACACTCATTAGACAGAATTATATGATATAAAAAATTTATTGTACAAATTTATAATTTCCTAATTTTCTACATTGATTGAATCCCTAGTATTCGCATGATGTATTTTCAAATGTTTATTATGATTAGATTTTGTTGATGAAGTTTTGGAACATATGGTACAAACAAAAGGTCTGGTTCCTGTGTGCGTTCTCATATGTTCGGTTAAATAATATTTTCTGTGAAAAACTTTTGTACACCCAGTAATAGTAATAGTACATGATATTTTTTTCTTGTTCATGTTCCTTCACATGACGCAAATAATTATACTTTCTAATAAATCTTCTTCCACATTGATTGCAGACAAAAGAATATACTTTCTTATGTGAGTTCATGTGGTATTTATAATCTTGTAAACGAATGAAAGCACTTGGACAAAGTTGACATTTATGTGGTTTGGTACTACGATTTTGATGAACATATTTATGTTGCTTCAAATTCCATTTTGTGCTAAAGTTTTTATTGCATATAAAAAATTATATATATTATTGCCTGTATGTATTTTCATGTGACTCCTGATAGAGTGCTTCGAAAGACTCTTATTACAAATTTGGCACTTTTCTGAATTTTCTATAGTTTTATCATTATGAGCAGTACGTATATGTCTGTTTAATGAAATTATGTGAATGAACTTTTGAGTACAGTATTTACAGTTTTTTGGTTTTGTATCATGAGTCTCTTTGTGGTAGAAAAGTTTAGCAAATGATGGAAAATTTTCACCACAGTGACAAAAATATATTTTTTCTGGAGGCTTAAACTTGTGCATTGAAATTTTATGTTGAACTAATGCTTTACGACCCTGAAATCTTGCATCGCATGCAGTACATTAAAAATCTTAGAAGAAGTACTCTTACATTCATGTTTTTTCAATTTCTCATCAGAATGGAAACGTCTTGGACATTTAGTACATGCATATTTCTTAAAACCTACATGTGTAGCTTCGTGATCATCAAAAGTTTTCTTTTGGTGAATAATTTTGCACATAAACGACATTCTAATGGATGGATTTCTAGATGCTTATTAAAAGAGTTGGTTGTTTTAAACTCTTCCTGGCAAATAATACAAGTGTATGTAAAAGCAGTAATCCTTTTTCTTATAACAGTTCTTTTTACAATTTTTTTCGAGGTACTCTGTCCAGAAATATTACTTTCCATTTTATATTTGTATCAGTAAACGTATCTTGCTGATTTAGATTGAATGAATTAAAATCAGTTTTTATATCAGTATTTTTCATTTCAATATGCATATCTTCTAAAGGTTCTAAAATAGCATCAGTGTTATTAATTATATCATACTTGACACTAGAAGTGAACTATTAAAATTATCACTTTTGGTCTGACAATCAACTTCTACCTGCTCTATATTACTAATATTATTTTGATCATTATGGTTACTAGAGTTATGTGTATAATAATCCTCTGAGAACTCAAATGAATTTCTTAAAGATTCATTGTGTTCAAAAGTGTGTGTAGTTTGTGTTGGATGACATCTGCTGATATGTACTCGTCTTTCCTTGGCGCAAACAAACTCATCTGCGCAATGAGGACATTTGAATATATTTAGTTGCTTAATTGTTGAATTTGATTTAGAAGATCTACTTCCATCAATATGATTTACTAAGGAGCAACTAGATGACGGCTCCAACATTCTGAAACAAAAAAATATGAAATAATGTATATGCATATAAATTTATGAAATGTACATGCGAATCTGATGCTAAATAGTGTTATTTCACACACACTTACGGTGATAAATACTGGGACAGATTCAGCTCATTTTCATCCACAGGCAAATTAAGAGGGAATGAACTGCAAGCATTCTGGTAAGCCTGTGATATAATGTTAGTTATTTGTATATACTTTCAGTAACAATAACAATATGCATTATGAATATAAAAATCTTTACAAAATCATTCACATCTTTACCAAAAAAACAATTATTATTGTTAATCATATATTATACAAATAATTGGGAATTTATTGTATCCTAATAATGTTAAAGTTTCTTATTATTGAAAGAATAGTATAATAATTTAGATTTGTATCAAAGAACTAAATCTGAAGTATTGAGCGCAACAAAATAAAGTTATTGAAAATAAGGATTTTGCTGCTCTTTATAAAATTGATACCAGTTTCGAAATTATTTCTCAAGATTTTGCTTCTTAATTAAAAAAAAATCATAACATACTACAATCTAATAATTTTAGTAAAACAACACTCACCCATGAAGAGCTATCGGTGGATTCTTGTTCACTTAATTCTCCTCTGGCAGGCATTTTTTCATCAGTTCGAATATTTAAGCTTTCTGATGATAAACTGCAATCTAAATTTTGTTTTAAATTGTCAGAAGTATTTATTTTAGATCCACAATGAGATGAAAACTCTTCTGTAGGCATGTTGCTATGATCAAAATTGCTTTGATCAGGATAAGACTCTATTTCAGTGCAATTTATTTTCTTATATTTGTCAGTCTGTTTGTCTTCTTTATCATTTTTAGGCTTTACATAAACTGGTCCATTTCTTAAATTTGGTTGACAAATATCTATATCCAATAGTTTCTCAGGTGAATCTAGTTTTTCATTATTTGTCTCTAAATTTATGATGACTAAATTAGGTGAAAACATCGTTTTTCTATGATCGGAATCATAAACAGATTCTGAATTTGTTTCAAATGATTTTTCATCATCTAATTCATCGCTGTATAAGAGTTTTTCGTCAGAATCTCCCTGACTGAATTCTTTCCAACCTTGTAAATTTTCATTATTGTTGATTAAATTACTATTTTCATATGTGCTTATTTCATGCAAACCATTTAATTCTTCATTTTTCTGTTTGACTATTAAAGATGACACATCTGTGTTCTTGAAGGATTTGGGATTACTTACTACAGAATGACTTATAATTTCTATATTCTGTTTACATATTATTTCTTCCTTAGAATGTTTTAAAGACTTTGTTTGATTTCTTTAGATAAATAATCGGTCTGATTGTTTTTGGTATTGGAACTATGAGCATTATGTATTTCAGTACTGGAAAGGAGTGAATCTATAATTGGTGTCGTATCCACAGCTGGGATCCTAGATCTAACAGGTTGGATGATAAATCTCTTCTCAAAGCTTTGTCAGAACTTATATTAATTGACTGTAAACGACTAATTTCATTATTCATGCAAACCACACTTGGCACATCAATTTCAACAGTTTCAATATTAAAAGATTTTTCACTAGTGCATCCTTGATTATCAACTAAGTTGTCATTCTGTTCCATTGTATTGAGCCTATCATAAACACCTTGATGTTCTGAATAATCATTATACTTGTAATTACTTGTAGGACTAGGCAATGGTCTAACATCGTTGTTTGAATGCTCAATTCTTTGAATAACAGGAATTGTAGTAGAATTTTTCTGTATATTTTCATGTTTTCTTGTCACAGGTCTTATTAATTGATGAGAATCACGCTTTGTATATGAATAATTAAAGGAAGGAGTATTAAATCTTGATTCACTTCCATACTCCGTACTCTGATGTGATTGCCAATAAGCTGTTCTAGATGAAGAGGCTAGAACTGATGATCTATTACCCACCCAAGATTCCTCTTGGACTTTTGGCCAATTAGGAGCTCTGATACTGTTATCAGCCCAATCTAATCTAATGTTTTCTGAAGACTGTGAACTATTTATTACGGTCGAAGAAGGTTTTGTTACTGTTATCCATGGTGAAGAATTACTAGAACTCCTCTGCCTCTCTACTAAATTCGTTAATGCTAGAATCACTTGATCTTTTGGGTGAGTATCTAAATGCTCAGACAAGAGCATATCTGGAAGCAGATATAACCGGCAAACCGGACAA